ACTGGGTGCTTGGGTGAAGAGAGTAGGGTTTGTGCTCTGCAAAAGACACGGGCCATCCAAGCCACAAAACCCTGCCCTTGTTTCCAGCAGCAGTGTTGGAAGGCCTTGGAAACTATTGACTCGCAAGGCAGCGTTGGGGTCTGGTTTGGCACCCCTTTGATTTGAAGACAGTGAAAGGCGCATTATGTATTTAGCTTCAGATCAGGACGCCGAGCAGGCAGCCGTGTAGGAATCGCAGGGTCCGATATATAAATATTTAGACAGATATCCAAATTCTCAGGGCGTCCTAGAAATGTTTGCTTGTCAAGGGAAGTGGGATATATAACATCCAATTGAGTATATCTTTAAAAAGTAATGTTTCTGCTCGAGTCCAATGGTGTCTAATTCCCCCTGTGCAAACACTGGCTTTTAAAGTAAACACGTGTATAGAAGATTGGTTTCTCTGTTTTAAATGTTACTGTTGAATATGTACTTTGAAAGAATGAAACAAGGCTGCTAAACTCTAGACCTGCTATTAATCTACACATAACTTTCCACTCTTCACTTAAAGCCAGAATATTACTGTATAGAGGGCTCCCTTTCACCCTTTTAATTTTTTTTTTTTTTTCTAGAGGAAGGGGGAGCTTTTGCGGCTTCTCTTCCAAATCTGTGCAGGTAGCTATAAATTTCCTCCGTCCTGCAGATTTTTCTCCTGCCAGTTCCATTGCTGCATTTTTTTCCCCTGCCAGTTCCATTGGTGACCTGCTAAAATATTAATTCCTCCCTCAACGAGTCTGGCTGTGGAGAAGAGCTCACTTCTCTTGCTGCTGTAGGACACGGGAGGGACGGGGGGACTGGGGACCTCCCCCCTGGCCGGATCCTGCGCAGCCGCGGGGTGCTGAGTGGGAGTCGCTGGGCTGCGCCTGAGGGTGCGTTATCCCCCCGGCAGGTACGCCTTCCACAGCTCCTCCTGGCTGGTGGCCGGCAAAGCCGATCCTGCCACCCCCGGGAGGGTGCATTACCACCCCGACTCCCCGGCGAAAGGGGCACAGTGGATGAAGCAGATCGTTTCCTTCGATAAGCTCAAACTGACCAACAATTTGCTGGATGACAACGGGCATGTAAGTGTTGCTGGGTGAGGTGTCACACATGCCCCGTGCCGTGGTTCCTGTGGGGTGCCCCTGCTCACACCGCCCCCCCAGGTGGGAGAGCCGGCAGGGCCGGGGGCTGCGCTCTCCTCTCTCCATGCTCCGCCTGGATCAGTTATTGTCTCCTTGCTCGTTTTATCATTCAGATCATTTTGAACTCCATGCACAGATACCAGCCGCGTTTTCACGTGGTCTACGTGGACCCCCGGAAAGACAGCGAGAAATACGCGGAGGAGAACTTCAAAACCTTCGTCTTCGAGGAGACGCGCTTCACGGCCGTGACCGCCTACCAGAACCACCGAGTGAGGAGGCAGCGGGGCCCGGGGAACCGAAAGCGGGGGTTGGGGTTGCCGCGGAGGTACCGCTGGTGCAGGCGCGCCCAGCTCCCGGGCTGCGGGAGTACAGGGTGGGGATTCCCGCCGCCTCCTCCTTGTCTGCTAAACCCTAGCAGAGCTCTGCGTCCCTGCTCACCGAGGAAGCGGTGTGAGCTGCAGCCCCACGGCCGGCTTCCCCCCGCCCGGGGGGACCTCATTACCTATGTAAACCCGAGGCTGGGGCTAGTTGGGAAACTACAGGCTTCCCGCTGCGAAATGTCACTCACAATTTGTTAGGATAAATGTGCGATTTTACTTCTTCAAGCTCGTAGCGATCAATTCTTCCCCAGAATACAATTACATGTTTGAAAAACGAAACGAAACAAAACAACACACCCCCCCTAATTTGATGCGGATTTCTGGGCAGCAGTTAATCCAATTGCTTCTTTAAATCGCATTAGTGTAACGTAAAGAGCAGGAATCCCAGCCGCGAGTGCAAATACGGATTCAGAGCGAGGGCTTTTCAGCACTACTTAGAGCCGCCTCGCTCCGCGCTGGGGCCGCAGCCGGTGCCACTCTCTGCCGCAGCTCCCGCACATCGGCCCGCGATCCCCTGGGGTCCCTGCCAGGGCCGGAGCACGGCTGTGCCTTTAAGGGGCTTCGGAGTCTCTCCCGGCTGGCATTTGCCTGATGGCTCCGGACAGCTGCTCTTTCTCTCCTGCTTTCTATCAGTTTGACCTCTACGGCTGGAACTGTCACTGAGGAGCTTAAAGTTTGTTTTTCAACCCATTCCGGAAACTCACAATCACATACTTTATCCATGGATTTGCTTAAATATAGAAAATGTCCTGCCTTCTCCAGGAGAATTAAATAAATACATAAGTAGGATTTATCCAGTGATTTGTCTTAGCTGCTCCGGTGGTGACCCATATAATGTGGCACTTTCTTACAAGTGCATTTACACAGCTTTTGCAGCCAATGTGGCCACATCTCCCTTCACCTTGAACTCCTATTAGATAGCATCCTAGCCTGTGTTTTCTAACAGAGGGAAAGCACATGTTTGTGTTCTGTAGCAAAGCATGCCCAGCTCCCAAAGCCGGCTCAGGGGCATGCTTGCTGTCTGACCAGTGGGCCCTTTGTATGCCGCTTTGAGACATTTTCCTGCTTCTTCCTACAGATCACGCAGCTGAAGATTGCCAGCAACCCTTTCGCTAAGGGATTCAGAGACTGTGACCCTGAGGACTGGTAAGGCTTTGTCTTTATTGACTGTCACTTCACCCCGCTCTCACCCCCAGTTCCGCATACACCTGCCCAGCTCACATCTGCACAAAGCTTGCATGGAAACTCGGGGGATGCAGTGCCCCATTTGCCAGCTGCAACTCGCAGCAGCAATGCTCCAAGTGCTCATTCTGTTGGACCATTGTATCACTTCTCCCTTTATTCTTCCAGGCCCAGGAATCACAGGCCAGGGGCCCTTCCTCTCATGAGTGCTTTTGCCAGATCCCGGAATCCAGTCTCTTCCCCGGTGCACCAGAATGGGACAGAGAAAGGTGAGAGCCTGCGATGGCCTGGCCAGGCTGCCACCCGGGACCACAACGCGTGCATGCTTAGGGCCAGCCCTGCTTACCATGACGGTGCACAGCTGCCTGCAGCGGGCATAGCTACAGTGCTAATGAGCTTTGCAACACCACCTATTTTAATTTAACAAAAATAGCCACCTTCATAGCCTAATTCATTGACCCTAAGTCTAAAACACTCATTGCTGTTGTGCTTAAGCAACTTCACTGCTTTAGAACACCGCCCTCTCCCTTTAGTCTCTCTTTTTTGACTTTTTGGCAGCAAGTTCAGCTTTTCATGCAGGGATGCAGCGACGGCCACTGCCTCTCTTCACAGTGACTTTTTGACGCGCCCCGGCAGCGCATTCAGGGCCGACCCGCTCCCATTCAGGAGCTGCAGTCAGGTCGAACAGCACCTCTGCCCATTGACTCCTTTTCCATTACGCAGAGCAAACAACTGCAGAGACAACCGAGGGCCTTTCTTCCAACACACTCCAGGCCTGCAAAAATAAAGGGAAGTCTGTATTTGTTTAGTGTTACACAATTGCAAAAATTTCAGGCGTGTACCAGCTTGTCAGTCAATTCAGCTCCATTTATCTCAGTCGGAAGGTCCTGTCCCACAAGCCCCGGTTCCTGCTGCATGCCGCTGCGCACTCCGCTCCTTGCAAGCCTCGCTTTTACCGTCGCGCACCGCTTTTCCGTGTATT